CTTGAAAGATTATCTCATTTACACACATCTCAAGAAGTAGATAGTTCAAAAGATACAACACAAGTTACTGTTACAAATGCATATCAGGAGGAAGGTGTAGGTTGTATTAGTGAAACAACTTGTTCATACTCTAACCTCAGGTTAGAAGACAGCGATGATAACAAAAGCACCAGAATAAAGGAACTGGATGTTCAGAGATCAGGGAATGAGATGTGTAAAGGCAAAGAAAAAGAAGAGCCTTTATCTCCCAATAATTGTACTGAAAATGCATGTACAAAATGTGAGAATTATGACGAGTGTAATTCTCAATCCAGAACCCCTGAAGAAGTTAGGATTTTGCCAGAGCAAACAGAAAAACTTGTTACAACCAATACCAAGTGGTCGAACCACCCGAACAAAACAAAAGAAATTGCAGTTATCAACACGAGGAGATATAACAGATAATATGGTAAGCACAGCAGATCAGCCTCATCCCATTCCCAAACCAAGATTAACTCGTACAAAGCAAAAGGAGGTCTTACCATTGCTCAATACAATTGATGAATCAGAAGGTCAGTTGTTACCACCCATGGACTTTCCAAAACCAAGAATGACTCGCACAAAGACTAAGGCAAAAGAACAGACTAACAAATTTGAAAATGTGGAATATGATTCACAGTCTTCAGTAGAGGAGGGGTATAATACCCATGAGAAAGCTGTTGCACAGCCATCTGAGGAAATCCCAATGTCTCGTTCTACTCGTACAAAGAAAAAGGTGATAGAGGTAATTTCCTTAACTGACACTCCAGTCAAGAATGACATTAATAAATCGGTAGACAATGAATCACAAAAACCAAGGACAACAAGAACAAAGAAACGAATGTTTGACGAGTTAGGTGTAGATCAGCCTACTAGATCTACAAGGACAAAGTGTAAGAAAATGGAAGAACAACCTGAAAAAGAATCTGTGGCTTCAGAAAAACTTGGTCTATGTTTATTTCTTACTGAATCTGAAGATGAGAAAGACGGCAAATCATCTCAGGTTGTACAGAAATCACCACTTGTTAGGTCTGTTCCATCAGTAACATCTATGAAGCCATCACAATTAGCGACCTCCTATACCTCTGAGAATACTGTAATGGCTGCTACATCTACTCAGAACACAGAAATTGGGCCGGTTCGCCGGATAATCGATCTAAGGTGCGCCAGTTGCCAGCTTTATTATTAAGCCCTTGTCCATCGTCGTCAACTGTCCAAGTTGTAACTCCAGGTAGTCCAGTACACACTAGTTTTAAGCATGCTTGCTGTACACCAAATTCAGACAAGGACTCTCCAATGTCTTCTACTGTACGCCAGAAGGGGACACGCGCGATGACCCCTGTAAAACATTCTCCACGAACATTTGCTGGGTGAGTGATGCTCTTGAGGTGTAATAGGTGGAGAATAGTAATATACAGTATAATGATTGTAAAATGTGCAGATAATGGCCACAGACAATAAAATTATTTCATTAAAGGAACAGTATACAAGTTAAAGTGAGGGAGGAGGATTGAGTGGTTCACTAAGGTCAAAGTTACTATGTTCATGAAATGTACTCTTTTGTCCCCTGCTGCTTTGCAAAATATGAGGACTAGATTTTAGTTATCCATCTCTCCAACTGTTATCAAAATTTAAGAACTCTAAAGTATGCACAGTACAGTTGGTCCTCACATTACGCGGTTAATGTAACCCGGAGGGTCCCGCGGAAAGTGAGGAACGCGTAAAGTGAACAACATAACATATGGGATTAATTGAAATGGAGTCCAGGCCGATCCCCAAACTCCACTTTTTGACGACACACAACTATGTTGTAGTAAAAATATTATCTTAACTTTATGATGGCATGCACGCACAATTAATAATTAAGAGAAATATCAATAATATTAGGTTTTTTAACACTTACATTAGTAGAAAAGATGGCTGGGCACACGGGGATGGGGGGGTTGGTTCCGAGGCAGAGGGCAGATTATTGGCCCTCACCTGTATCACTGGTATCAATTGTATCACTATCCACCACAGAGGCTTGCAGGGCCTCTTTGTTAAACCCCTCAAAGTCCATATAAGTCCATATCCTCACTATAATTATCACTATCACTGACTTGGGCCGGTTGTGGTGGGTGGCGGGTAAAGAACTCGGTAATGTTTTGATGACTGGGCGACCTTGTGCGCACCATTTTCGCGCCTCTTACACAACATGGTGGATGGCGGGAGGTTTGGATCCAAAAATGGCGCGGCTTGCCAGCCGCTCTCCGCGTAATGGGGTTCACGACCGCGGAATGTAAGAATGTTAGGTTCTGGCAAGGCACCGCGTTAACGGTGAAACGCGGAATGCGGGACCGCTTAATGTGAGGACCAACTGTATTTTATTTTGAAACTTTACCAAAGTATGCATTAGCAAAGCCTTTATTTTTTATACCTTATGCCAATTTTTAGTCTTCCCTTTATAGTCAGGGGCATAACCAGAGATCAAGGTGAAGATCAGACTTATAAACAAACTTTGTGATTGCTCTGAAACTTTCGACAGTATAGCATGTTTCCCCATGATCTTAAGCAGTCAGTGGTGTGAAGAAGTCAGGAGTAAAGTGATATTGGGAAAAGGTGATCTCTCTCTGATAATCTTGTTGTAATCAGTCAACAATTGTTAAAACATTGTTGATCTTTAAAGTTGACATTGTCTGGTAGTGGAGTATATTGTGTTGATATTTCAAGATAATTTCCATATTAGTTAAAGAGTTACAGAAGGATATAAGTTGTTTATTATATATTGAAGATGAACTTTCCCTTATAAGTTAGACCTCAATCGGGACTGTGCATGACACTTTGTCTTTTGGCGATGCAAGTTGCACCAGTGTGTCATGGGGATATTTTCATTGGTTAAGAAGTTGTGGAGTGAATACAGACAGATTTCTGTACTGTATCCAGGGTACTGCTGTAACCTTGAAGGTTAAGTCCCCACTTGGTCCATGACGTATTGCCTGGCAGTTGCTACATTGTGTTAATGTACCTTGATATCCTTTTTGGTTCATAGGTTTCAGGGTGGACATGAACACTTCATTAATATGCCTAATTTTATCCTTGAAGATACGGACAAAATATTATTTGACAAATTTCATTCCACTTATGCATAATGTGGTAAAGCTTCATTAAGATGCAATATTTCATAGTTTTAAAGTTATGGTCCTGGAGGGAGGGAGGGACAAATAGCCTAATTCTGCAGTGGTGGTGAACAAATCTGTTTCTGTTTAATTAAAAAAACCTGTTATACAAAGTAGGTTTACAGTAAAGTGGGGCCATTTGTTTTTAGGATACTTTTATTATTTTCCTGGTGGGGGTGGAGATGACATCATGCCAGTATCATTTTGATCTCTACATTTGCATTTTTTTTTTAGTTTATTTAATCAATTTATCATATTTCAGCTCAAAAACAGGCTGTACTGTACGAGAATTGGCAACTGCATATCAGAATCACATTGGAGAAACCCTTAATGAGGTTGAAGAGCTAACTTCTGAGGAGTGTGAGGTGTGTTTATAAGTGGTTGAGTTCGTTACTCTGGTAAAAAAAAAATGTATACAGTATAGTCTTCATTTGCGCGGTCAATTGAACCCGTGGAGGTCCGCGTAAAACGTGTAAACGAAATAACAGAACATATGGGATTAATTGAAATAGAGACTGGGCCGACCCCCAAACTACACTTTTTCTGACACAATAGTACGTTGTAGTAAAAATAACATCTTAATTTTATGATGGTATGCACACACAATTAATATTTAAAAGAAATATCAATAATATTAGGTTTTTTAACACTTACATTAGTAGAAAAGATGGCTGGGCACACGAGGATGGGGGGTTGGTTCTGAGGCAGAGGGCAGATTAATTGGCCCTCACCTGTATCACTTGTATCAATTGTATCACAATCCACCACAGAGGCTTGCAGGGCCTCTTTGTCAAACCCCTCAAAGTCCATATCCTCACTATCACTGACTTGGGCTGGCCGTGGTGGGTGGCGGGTGAAGAACTCGGTAATGTTTTGTTGACTGGGTGACCTTGTGTGCACCCTGCCCGCGCTGCTTTCCGCATAAATGATGGAATGAACCGTGTAAATAAAAATTGCCAGTCTGGCAAGGTGCCGCGTAAATGACCAAACGCGTAAGCCGAGACTATACTGTATATATATTTTTAATCCTCCCAGTATAAGTCAGTGAGTTGTGAGTAATTTTATTGCTTGTCCATGACTCCTGTATTTGTGATGGCCACATAAAGCAAATATCCATTTCTGTTTATATAATGGCTATTTTATCTTTCAGGTAACACACTCCCCAGCTCATGTAACACGACATGCACGAGTTAGACATGCAAAGGTGAGAAGCTCCTCTTGGTTATATGTAAACTTTTAGAAAATATAGTACAGTATTTGAGAAATTATTACTAAACCTGACATGAATATAATAGGTTGAGGTGCATTTGTACAGGGAGTAAGTTACTAATGCAAATTAGACTTACACTACAGTAATTGAAGGAAAAGCCATTGACTATGCTAGTGAACAGGACGTTGTCTCTTGCCAGAAGTCATTAATGTTTAAAGATATTTATTGCCACCACCAACAGGGTCATGTGAATAGGCCTTTCAGCAAGCTGTCTTAAGTTGCCATTTCTGACTGTTGGCATACTTAATATGAGTCTTTTCCATGACAATTCATAGGGCTGCCATGATTTTTATGTTCAAGTGTTTAAGGTACCATTCTGGGTGAGTTTGTATTTTTCTTGGGTGCAATCTGATATGCACAGGGACTGTCACTTAGTCTAAAGATATAAGGCTAACCAACCATTTACAAGAGTTTCCAATTTACCTTTTTTCTTCCCTTTTAGATATTACAAATAATATATGATTGCTATATCTCATGGTTGTTAGCTTTCAATCAGTCCTGACCCAAAAGGAGGTGAGTTTCTGATAGTAATCATTGAAATTTGTAAATGGCTTCATTATGTGTGTTATGTTTTTGTGTATTTCGAGTGTTTCTGGCATGACCATTTTGTTCTTGAGGTTTCTGTTTCCCTTGATATGCCCTATGTATACAGTATAGGAGCAGAGAATAGAAAATTACAAAATGTAGATAGAATAATAGTGTAAATTACATAAAATGTACTATTTAACATTAATGAAGAACTTATTACTGTACTGTTACGATTATATATTCATTTCTAGAAGCCTCAAATGTTCCTTTAACAGGGTGAGAGTTCAACAAGAACTATCGCTCGCAGGAGTTTAAAACGTGCCCTAGAGATTGCAAGAGGTGCCGAGTTGAAAAAAGCAATGAAATATTCGGAGGTTTGATTTTTTCAGTACTGAGAGCATTTACTTGGGCTAACATACAGTACTGTAATGTAAGGGTATTGTTAATTAGGAGGTGGTAATATTATAAAGGGGAAATTAATGGGTTCACAGGGAATTACAGTATATTGGTGCTTATTGTTTATCAGAACTATTTCACCATTAAACAGCTAATAAATGTTTAATGTTCGTGAGTTGTAATGGGTTGTGGAGGTTGTGTTGATTTTTATTTGCAAAGAAGCTATTCGGGTTTACTTACATTTTGAAATGTGCAGATATAATGGCCCTTTCCCCCAAAAAACTAACTTTACTTTAATCATTGATATCTTATGAAATGATAGTGTGCTGTATTTGCATCACCTGGCTGTATTTATATACAGTATACTATCCTTCATATATGGTCACTCTATGTATGTATTGTATATTGGTGCATCCCTCTTAATGGCCAAAATCCACATGTACAGCACCTAGAATTTGAAATTCCTTTTAGTTATTAAACTTGTAGTATGGTAAGCATTTCCTTTGTGCATCTTTGTTCTTAGATTAGTTCTTCCTGTTCATCCACAATTTCTTCCTCACTTGTATAGCAGTAAACATAGAATTTTTTTAAATAAAGTATGTTTCTTTTTCATGGGACTACTTTGCCACTACCAAACCCTATTATTTTGAGTGAACTCTACCTACTTAAATGCATTCTTTGTAAAGTACAGTAGATAGCAACTGTACACTCTTCAAGTTTTCGATGTCCATTCTTACAATGAAACCTCCATATAATGGATTCCTCTCTCCATATAATCTGTTAGATGGGGTTTCATATCAAATGGATCCTCAATATAAGAGACTTTTATCTCTATCTAACATACTGTAGTTCATTAGATGTGGGATTCACATAAAACGGGTCCTCTATATAGCGGAGTCTCCTTTCTACATTGTCCGTTAAATAGAGGTTTCACTGTACAGTACACCTAGACCCCGACTTACGACTACGTGGACTTACGACCGTCGGGACTTACGACCGCCTCAGATATAGATTAAAAAAAATTTTTTAAATGACACACGCATTTTCTATACCGAAACGTTTCCAGTTAATGTAGTCTCCATGTATAATTAGAAAATTATGGGGGCCCCATGTGCATTCAGCTGACTACATTAAAGGTTAAGTGCTCAGTCACACTGTATCCATTCCTTATTATTTATTACTTTCACTGTACTGTATCCATTCATCATTATTCATTACTTTTACTGTACTGTATTTCATTGTAGATTTTTTTTTTTATCTATATTGACTTACGACCATATCGGACTTACGACCTGGATTTGGGTCCCTAACCCCGTCGTAAGTCAGTTTAGGTGTAATTTAATTTTGCAATGGGTAACAACAAACAGTATAGTACAAGTATTGCACCCTTTTTTACTCATAAACCTTATTACCAGACTTGAATCAATCAGAACTGTACTGGTATAATTGCAGATTTATGAAATGTATGTACAGTACAGTATTTATATTTACTGTACGAGGCAGTGGTGAAAGATTACTGTATTAAATGAATGGTTTGATTAATGTTAGTCCTCATATACTGAGATCACATACTGTACTGTACTGGGAATGGTAATTATTGGAGAGCGGTTCTTAGTATGACAGCGCTTGACGTATATACCAATATTGTTAACAGTGGCCTGGCATTCTTAAAAAAAAAATTACTTTTGTGATGTGGTTTAATCAAAGATGGCATTTATTGTTTAGCTTTAATCAAGAATATTAAGTTGTTAATCCCTGGAATGTTCTTCAATGGTGGCTTCATCATATCTTCATTGTTTTATGCCCATTTCTCTTGTCAGGTTTCTATCTCTCAGATAATTCGTGACTTCTCCCCATGTCAGAATTACCTGTAAGTATTTCATAGTTAAATTTATGGAGGGGTTAGTGTATGTTCCATCATATTAAGATAAATCAAATGCATGCAGCAAATTTCGTGTTTCATCTTGAAAAAAAGCTGAACTATGTCAATAATATATTAACTCACTGTATTTATTTCAGACTCCAGACTCCCAGAGAGTTCGGATAAAGCCCCCTGCCAGAACCCCACCTGCAACTTGTACTTCAGATAAGGTACTGTATTTTCAAACTTGGGTGTTTTTTTGTATTTTTCTTATTACTGTTATAGTTGTGCTGTCCAACTGAGTCATAAACTCAATTAAAAGAGATATAAATAGGGATTAAAAATATAAGGAGTGAGCTTGATCATCTTTATTTCTCTTCCACAATTTGGTGATGTGAACTACAGGCAGTCCCCGAGTTATGAATGGGATCCAATACATTCACTACAAAAATCTCTAAGATCCCATATTTTACATTACTTTACTTTCATTATTCTGTATTGTTTAACATCACTTTATTTACAGTATTTACATTATTTGTTATGTATGGGATATTATTGTTGTTTTATATGGATGGGATTCTATACTTTAATCTCTTCTACTTATCACTTCAACTGGAAGAAGCAGTTGCTGAGCATTTAGACATTTTGGAAAGGTCGGCATTTGCTAAACTCCAGGGGAATTGTAGCAGTAAGTGGATATGTCCTTGATTTGAGTGACACCTTGTTTGCAGCTGGGGAAATGTGCAGTAGTATTACATACTGCATATGGTATACTCTATATACAATATACACTTTCCTTTGTTCTGAATGATGCCTTTACTAAATTTTATAATTGATATATTTTTTTCCTATGTAGGTTATTCGACCAAAGAAGATTTTACTCAGCAGCAGCAGCAGTACCCATGGTAGCTCTCGTGATACACCAAAAACTTTCTCAAGAAGTCGGCTGATGCTTACCTCGTCATCCTCGGTAAAACACAAGATACAAAAGGTTTTGCATACAGTATTTATTATATACAGGAACACCCTGGTTAATGAGAGGGCTAAGGACTGACGGCAGTTGTTTAAAACCTGAAAAGTAATTCACTATAGCACTGTTCGTCATACACCGATGTTACTGAAAATAGATTCAAGACATGGCAACAGTGCAGCAGCAACTGCAACATTAGAAATATATAATTCTTATGCTAACAGCCATTATATTTTAGTGTATTTTGTTCTAAGTCTTTTAATGAATAAGATAATAACTGTAGCAGTATTTTATTTTTATTATCAAAAGTATCATGTAAATGGGAGAACAAGGTGTTGGGTGGTTTAATGAATCTTGTATGAATTGTCATTAATTTTATTCAATTATTATTTTATAACAGACGCAACGAGGAAAGGATGAAGCGGGTACAGGAAGCTCGTGAAGAAAGAGAGCGTAAGGCTATAGAAGCAAAGAAACAACAAGACAGAGATAGAAAGAACAGAGAGGAGCGACTAAGAGAACAGCAGCAGCAGCACAGAAAGCAGCAACTTCTTGCTAAGAGACGTGCAGAAGAGGCTAGAGTTAAGAAGATTAAAGAACAGGTAGGTTTAAGCAGTAACCTTGGAAATTAAATTATTCATAGTTGCGTTGAATTTAAAACTCTCGTATATATTTACTATACAGTAAACCCTCGATAAATCAGCACATCTGGGCTCTGGCCTTGCTGAGGTATACCAGATTCTGACTTATCGAGGCCTTTCCCCCTTCATACAAAAATCATCGACCCATATGTGTGTGTGTACAGGTAATTACTAAATATACAAAAAGTAACACTTACCAGCACTGCAGGCGAAGAATGGAGCATCATTGTAGGTGACACAGAGGTATGGTAGGTGACACAGAGGTATGGTAGGTGACACAGGCATGGTAGGTGACACAGGCATGGTAGGTGACAGGCATGGTAGGTGACACAGGCATGGTAGGTGACACAGGCATGGTAGGTGACACAGGCATGGTAGGTGACACAGGTGTGGTAGGTAACACAGATTCATGGTAGGTGACACAGAGGTATGGTAGGTGACACACAGGCATGGTAGGTGACACACAGGCATGGTAGGTGACACACAGGCATGGTAGGTGACACACAGGCATGGTAGGTGACACACAGGCATGGTAGGTGACACAGAGGTATGGTAGGTGACACACAGGCATGGTAGGTGACACACAGGCATGGTAGGTGACACAGAGGTATGGTAGGTGACACACAGGCATGGTAGGTGACACAGAGGTATGGTAGGTGACACACAGGCATGGTAGGTGAGACACAGGCATGGTAGGTGACACAGAGGTATGGTAGGTGACACAGGCTACCAGATATGCCGAGATTTTTGCTGTTGACAACACAATATACATAATGTATGTCGTTTCTCACTCTTGATTTTTTTTTTTTACTATTTACGGTTATTTATTATTATTACTGTTATTTTGTTTATTAAAATTTTTATTAATTTTAATTAATTACACCGGTCAACGCAATTTTTCTGGCACAAGGTTTTTAAACGGATTTTAAGTAAATTTGGGGTGTAGAATCCAAATATGACTGGTTTTTGTCTATCACATCAGGTTTTTGAGATATACCATATTGCACTTTTGCTGGGAAACGTAAACTTTTGGATCAAAATTGACGGTTTAAACATGTATACATAAATTTTTTCAGCATTATAATTTGTATTTTTCTATAACCAAAAATTTTTAATATCAAATTGGAAAGTTAATGCACATATAATATTTAAATGTAACATTGAAGGGTGAAAAAAAACAATTAATGTACGGTAGAAATAGTGCAAGTATTAAGATCAAGTTACAGTTACATAAACTTCCTCTTTTTGGCCGATCTCTTATGTACAGCTTCTGGAATGTCTCTCATCAAACTCCAGCAGTAGTCCGCCATCATGTTCGAGTCCCATCGACCTTGGTAACGTTCTTCCATTACTTTAATGTCTTGATGAAAGCGCTCCCCTTGCTCCTCGCTCACTTCTCCCAGATTTTCTGGAAACTCGTCCAAGTGACTGTGTAAGTAGTGAACCTTGATACTCATTCTGTATCCAAGTGCTTGTAAACTCAAGAGCAGCTCTTCCACAATTTCTTGATAGTTGTCCGCTTTCTTGTTCCCTAAGAAGTTCCGCACCACATTAGAGAAAGCATTCCAAGTTCTTGCCTGTGCCTCAGTCATTGTTGCAAGGAAGTGTGGATCTCTGAGTAGTGTTCTTATTTGAGGTCCATCAAAAATCCCTGCCTTTTTCTTCTCGTCGCTAAGACTTGGAAAGGTTGAGCATATATATATCTGAAACACTCTCCACTATGATCAAGAGCCTTGACGAATTGCTTCATGATACCAAGTTTTATGTGCAGAGGAGGAAGGACAATGTTTTTCCTGTCAACCAGAGGATCGTTAATGATATTCTTGTCACCAGGCATCAAACTATGTCTTGGTGGCCAATTCTTTTTCACCCAATGGTCTGCTGTAGCCCTGCTGTCCCAGTAGCACAGAAAACAGGGGTATTTTGTGTACCCTCCTTGCTGGCCCAATAGAAAGTTTACCATTTTCAAGTCCACACAAATTAACCATTCATGAGCCTGGTATTGCAACCTCTCTAGAACAGTCTTAATGTTTTCATACTCTTCTTTAATTTGTACAGAATGTCCGATTGGAATTGAACCATACAGTTGTACCCCACTTAACGCGGTCAAAAGAACCCAGAGGGTCCCGCGCTAAGTGAAATCCGCGTTAAGTGAACAACAGAACATATGGGATTAATTCCAATAGAACCCAGCCCGACCCCCAAACTCCACTTTTTGACGACAAATAACTATGTTGTAGTAAAAATTCTATCTTAACTTTATGATGGCATGAAAAAACAAGTAATATAGAAGAGGTTAGGTTAGGAAAGATAAAGGTTAACATAGGAAAAATAAAGAATAGGTTAAAAAACGAAAAATTTTGCGGAACACTTACGGTAGTAGAAGAGATGGGTCGGCATACGGGGATGGAGGCTGGTTCCGAGGCAGAGGGCAGATTACTGCCCCTCAGGTGAATCACCATTACTAGGTGAATCACCATTACTAGGTGAATCAACATCACTGTCACTTACAGTTGTCAGGGCTTCCCTGACAAATCCCTCAAAATCAACTTCACTTTCACTATCACTGGCTTGGGCTGGCTGTGGTGGGTTGCGGGCGAAGAAATCTGTTATGCTTTTCTGACGGCTGGTGTTGATGTTGTCGTGATACACCTTGATGTACGGCTCCATAGCCTGCACCAGTCGGGTATGGAAGACGTCATAGCGTTCATCGTCATTGTCGCGGGAAAGGACGGACTTAATTTTTTCTGTAAACTCTATGACACACTTAATATCATTATGACTTAAACTAGGTTCTTCGGAGAATGACGCACCTTCTTCCTCCTCTTCACTGGCGGGTTCTTCTTCCAACATCTCGGCGGCAGTCACTTCAGGATCTTTGATCACCTCCAGGATGTCTTCGTTGGTGGTCTCGGAGAAGCCTTCAGCTGTAATATTGAGTGCAGCTTCTCTGGCAAGGTCCACTGCTACTGCAACAGTCTGAACCTCACCAGTCACAGGTTCACTCCTCCTCTCACCTGGTATGCCATGCAACACATGTCTCCATGCGTGACGAATCGTAGCAATAGTCAGCAGATCCCATGCCTCCACCAAGAAGTCTACAGCTTGTTTAACGTTAAACTTCTTCCAAGATTGTTTGACGAGAAGTTCTTGAGTCACCGCCTCTTGTTCCTTGTCCTCGTCGCTTTTGCTCTCGCTGTCGGTGTCACCCAGCTTACGCAACTCATCCTTGGTGTTGGTAGAGTCGTTCAGGAGCTTGAACTTCTTTGCAGAGTACGCAGCTTTCACATTGCAGATCTACTCCTGGTCCATGGGCTGGATTAATGACGTAGTGTTGGGAGGAAGGAAGACCACTTTTACGTTGGGGTGACGATCGATAAGTAGGGGCGAGTGTCCAGGTGCGTTGTCAAGGAGCAACAAAATATTGAATGGAACATTCTGTTGCTCGCAGAATTTCTGCACGTCAGGAACAAAACAGTTGTCAAACCAGAAGAGGGACAGAGAAGAGGACATCCATGCCTTACGTGCGGTTAGCCAGTGGACATTAAGCTTGTTCATGTCCATATTCTTGTAGGCGTGCGGCTTGCGGGCTGTGTGAATCACCGATAACTTTGGTTTACAGGTACCGGAGGCATTGGTGGTAAACAGGACGGTGATGCGTTCCTTCTGCAACTTCCGACCCCTTACCTTGCTGGCAGACTGGACAACGAAGGTCTTGGAAGGTAACTTTTCCCAGAAAAGACCAGATTCGTCCATGTTAAACACCTGGTCGTCACTGTACTGTCCTTCCTCCATAATCTCACGTAAAAACGGAGGAAAATCTCTAGCCGCCACACGGTCAGCACTCGCTTCCTCACCACCAATGTTGATGTTGGTGATCTTGTTCCTCTTCTTAAACCTATGCAGCCAACCAGAGGAAGCATTGAAGGGTTTGGGCTCTGCAATTCCCAGCTCACGTGACACTGTTGCGTATAGCTCGCGTGCGTACTCCTGCACTGAGCGCATGTCCACCGCCATGTTGCGTCGCGCCTGACGAATCAAATAATTCACCAGCAAATTTTCCACTTTTGCCAGCACCCTGTTCTGGCAATACCTGATAGATGAAGCACCTGCAGACTTTGTGCTCTTTGATCTTGGCTGCATCCTTCTTGATTGTGCGAATCATAGATTCGTTGACGCCATGCTGGCGCGCGAGATCAATTTGCCGTGTTCCTTTCTCCAAATCTTGAACAATTTGGTACTTCACCTCGTAGCTTAAGGAACGTCGTGTCTTCTTTGGCTTAGTGCCGCTGGGTCAAGGTAAGGAAAGGTCTCTCTGGTGGCGGTGGTGGTCCGGCGAAAGCCATTTTACGTAACAATGGATGCGCGTTTACACGGTGGGGCCTTGAGGGATGAAACTGCCGCGGCTAGGTCAAGCGTCGTCTTTCCTCCCTCCCTCCCCTCCGGGGTGGTCCGCGTCATATCTTTAATATTGGCCAGGGCCAGGGATGCATAATATCCAGTCCGATACGTCATATGGCGTACGTCGGTGATACGCAAAGGCACACTTTCATAACCTTGCAGCGCGCTTGCCCCGGAGGGCAGGCAATGGCGTGGGCAAATCTAAAATAGCATCTCGGCGGACACTCACAGCGTATATGTAAAAATCAAGTGTTAAAGTGAAAGTTCAGCTCTGGCAAAAGGCACGTATATGTATCTGTATACAAAGTGAAACAGCGTTAGTAGGAGTAATACTAATATATATATATATATATATATATATATATATATATATATATATATATATATATATATATATATATATATATATATATATATATATATATATATATATATATATATATATATATATATATATATATATATATATATATATATATATATATATATATATATATATATATTTGTGGAATAAATGTATGTAGTAAGTACATACTGGTAACCTTTTTCACTCAAATCCTAATGAAACACCACAATTAGAATACGGTGGTTGCT